TAAAGGTGCCATTGGACTCAAACTTTGGTCTGTTGCTGCCATATTGCTGCACTCTGAAGCCCACTAGCTTGGAAGTAAATGCCACTGAAAGCAATGGGACTAACATGCAATCCTATGGATACTTTTAAAACAGTAAGCTGTACGATGAACTCATTGGGCAAATTCCAAGTAAATCTGCATGAGATCAAGCTGTATGAAGCATGTTCTAATCCACAAAAGTTTATGCCACAATACATCCATTTGTTTTTGGGGTTCCACTAGATGCTCTTTTTCATCTGGCTATAACCAATTAACAAGGGTATCCCTCTAGAGTTTCTGGACCATTAGGATAAAAAGTAAACTTGGATATACTGAACTTATCTGTTTTTTACCCTTTGTGCATATAGTTCAGTCTCATAGCTGAATCGCATACATTAGTTATGGATTATCTCAAGTATCAAGTGCAACATACTTCTTTCTGTTTGTTTTGTAACAGTGAATAATGAGATTGACAAGCATTAATGGAGTTACTTCAAACACTGTCTTCTACACTGTTTAACAAGGACTTCATTCACTTCATTAGCTCTTACAAAAGAAAATACAGTCACGCTCAGGACTGAAAGTGTCTCAAACCTCATCTCACATTTCAGACATTAGGAAAATAACAACAGAAAGAAAATTATAACTCCAAACCACACATGGTGAGAAATATAAAATGCAGTTCATATAGATCAAATACTAACAAACAAAAAACCTAATAGTATAGTTGTGTCTACAACTCTGTTTAATAGAATAAAAGCCAGGCACTTATTGGATGAATGTCCTTCATATTTCCAAGAAAAATCAGCATAACCAAAAAGTGATGTTAAAAACAGAAACCACAAACAATATTTAACTTGACTATACCACAATCTGATACACACTATTATAATTTGTATACTCTTTATTCGGGCATGTTTTTCTCTATAATCTATTTTGCAAACACAATTTAGAATGTAAAATAAACTGAGGACAGAGTTAACTTTGTCAGAATTTTACCAGTCTTAAATGAAATTGCAAACACATGCAGAACATAGCACCATTATCCTCCTCTGCAAAGTCTACCACCAACAGTTACATTACATTTTAGCAAAAATCTCAAAGTACACAGAAAGTCAAATAAAAATGTCGTAGTATCAATACAACTAAATTCCAATAGCAAGCTTGTAAGTATTTATTTATTAATTTACAAAATTTATATCCTGCCTTTCTGCCCCCACAAGGGCTACCAAGGCAGCTAACAAATGAAAACATTCAGAATAAAATCAATTTTAAAACCATTTAAAACCATTCCCCATAGAAACACACATCATTAAAACAATTAAAAACAGAGCCATAATACATACAAAGGCATAAAAACAACAATTAAAACACAGGGCGAGAAGAAGGGATCACTGAGGAAAGGCCAAATGAAACAAAAAAAGTCTTCAACTACTGGTGGAAGAGGGCAACAGAAAGGGACAGATGAATGCCCCTGGGCAGAGAGTTCCTGAGTCACAACCAAGAAGGCCCTCTCTCCTAGGTTGCCACCCAACTGATCTCAAAAGGCGGAGGAATCTGAAGCAGGGCCTCCAAAGATGACCATAGTAATCAATTGGGTTCATAAGGGAATAGGCAGTCCTTCAGGTATGTTGGTCCCAAACCATATAGAGCTTTGAAGGTTGACACCAGCACCTTGATTTATGCCTAGAAGCAAACTGTATAGATGGGCTAAAGCTGGGGTGATGTGGTCCCTATGACCCACTCCAGTCAACATCCTGGCTGCAGTGTTCTGTACTGAACACTTTCCAAGGGCAGCCCCATGTACAGCACATTGCAGTGATCTAATCTAGATCTAACCAGGGCATGATCCACAGTGGCCAGATCTTTTTCTGCCCAGGAAAGCCACTCTCTCTGTTTCCACACAAGGGCAGGCAAAGTTTCCCCATGCTGGTATGAAACGCAGCAGGGAGCTCGCCGTTCCAAAGTTTAGCTCTGCTCCCTTCTCAGACTGGTTGCAGGCAGAGTTTAAAGGGGAAAGGGGAGTCAGGTTAAAGGGGAGAGCCCTGGCTGGGAGCCCCCATGCATCATGCTCACAACATCATGTGGAAGCTCCCCTCCAAAAGCAAGGCATGCTGTGTTCCACCTGGGGGGAAATCCCCACATGGTAACCCCTGACGCTTTGCACGAGGCACATCAAAACGTCCAATGTGCAAGCACCAAGGCGCTGACACCGGCAGGCCATGTCGCAGCCACCCTTTCCCACTTCACCCAGGAAACATAAACCGAGGCCTGCATGAATAATTCAGGTGGGCTTGCGCCATAAATGTATAATGCCTCTTATTAGTTTGAGATAACTGGATTTCAACGGTCTTAATAAGATCAACATTACAGCCTGCTGCACTGTGTGCAAATTAGAACTATGTATCTGTACAAATCTGTTCAAACGATAGGCTGAGGAAGAAAAGTTTCCTTTAAAAAACAACCACCACCTTCCAAGGGATAACATCTCAGATCTACAATACTGTGCAGTTACTATGGGGTCTGATTAAATAGAAACTTGAGCCTCTCTAAAAGAAATAATTAGTTATGAGAAGTCTGAAACATGAAACTGCTCCAGATATTTCCCCTCTTTATTTTAAAAATCTCTCGTTTGAATTTAAAAGACTCCAGAAGGCAGGGAGCATCTTATAACCTGATGAGCGAGGAAGGGATGAAAGCGCTCAGTGAGGCCTACTTCTAATCACTCAGGCACGAGGCCTGCAGAGACTTTTCAGCCTGTAGCTTCTGCCCAAGAACCCCACTTCGGAGAGGGATGGGATTGAGAAAGCGCTACAGATCATCTGGGTCTCTGTATACGAGAGCAGCATGGGTATTTATTTGTTTTTTAAACGTCAGACTTTCAGAATGCAGTTCAAACCTGTTAGGTGCCAAATCTCCAGTACCAAAAATCGAGTAAACTGCCTGGTGTTTTTCTGCTCCCCCACCCCATTCTAGAGATAGATGGTTACAAAAGTTTTGTCCCAAAAAAATAAAGTCAAATATATTCTAGCTTAATGTGTCAAGATTGGGGGAGGGGGCAGACCCACAGCCCCCAATATCCGGCTTGGAACTTCAGCACCCCTGTAGATTTTAAAAAGGAAAAGTAGTGCCAACTTCTACACAATCCCTTCATTTAACAAGCCACGAGGATCTCTTTATCATTCGAAGGACGATCCTTTCAAACTCCCGAAGGTTTGAAAACATAAAAGTTTTGGGAAAAGTTCAAACACGGAGGATTTTAACCTTACTCGAAAGTTCTGCTCTAAAAAAACAAAACAAAACCCTGAGACGAAAGATAATCCAAGGCCCTACTTGCCGTTGGGGAATAAAACAAAACGAAATGTTGTGGGGTTTCCCCCCGGCAGTCACGTTCCCAGAAGCTTCGGCCTTTCCTCCCGACTCTGCTGTTCACTTCCCAGCGTGAGGAGTCACTTTCACTCTCTCTAACACGCACGCACACACAACACACCACACACACCCCTCGCCAGAGAAGGGCGCATGCCATAAAAGACACCGACTCACACACCTACCCGCATTTCCTTTCAGGAGGAGGCTGGGAGGAGGGACGCCCCCCGCCGCCGAGGATGATGATTTCTTATGTAACTGCGCGGGACCCTCCCTTGCTCCCCTCCGCTGGCGGCGGCGGCCAGAAAGTCCTGCCGAAGTTCGAACAACAAGCGCGGCCGTTGCCAAGTGCCCCGCTCCGCTCGCCCTCCTCCGCCTGCCCCCCACCCCGCCGCCGACAGTGGCACCCACCTGTCCCGGGGGTCGATCCAGCTGGTCTGCTTGGTGTTGTGGTCGATGTAGAAGACTTTCCCGTCGTAATCCCGCGCCTCCTCCCAGCCTTCGGGTAAGGGGAGCTGCCCATTCCCCGCTTTCCTAGGCATGGTCGAGGGTCGGGGATCGCTGCTCCATAGGGACCGAAAAGAAGAAAGAAAGAGGGACGCGGGAAAGGAACGCGCTTCCCCCCTTTCTCCTTCCTCCTGGGAGCGGGCAGAGGGGGGCAGACGCTTCTTGCAGCGGCTCGGGGAACACCCGCCGGAGTTTCAGTCCACCATGTCTGGACAGCAGCCGCCGCTTTCTGCCCTTCGTCCGCCGCGGCAGCAGGGCATGGGGCGTCCGGGCTGTCTAGGTTCCGATCCGGGGGGTGGGGGGGGGGGGGGGGGGGGAGAGAGGTGAGCCCGGCTCAGCCCCCGAGCGGCCGCAGCGGTGGCAGCAGGAGCAGCCGCTCATTAGCATGAGATTAGCATCCATCTCATCTGCATGCACATTCCTCGCTGGTGCATTCCTGAGCGTTAACCCTATCCCTGCCGCCCTGGGAGAAGAAAAGGGAAGACTGGCATCCAGAAAAGAGCCATCGGCACCTCTCCCCCCCCGCCGCCGCCCCGGAAAATATGCTGCACGATCGAGAAGAAAGGAGCATCTAGGAAAGTGGGAGAAGAAAGGGTGGGGTGGGGGAGCGCGGAAAGAGAAGAAAGGAGGAGAGGGACAAAAGGGAAAGGAGGGGAGGCACAAAGTGATCGGGGAAAGTGATGTTAAAGGTCCCTAAGGAAAAAGAGAATCCGGTGACACTTTAGAAACTAACCAAATATATTCCTGCACAGTGCCCTTCAAAACAGAGTTAGTTGCTCCCATCGAAATCCATTGAAGTAGGTGGCCTTGGAAGAGTATGGCTCTCTCTCTTCAGGATTGCACTGATAAAAGTGCAAAAGGGGGAAAGAATGGCAAGTTCACGCTTACAGTCAGAAAATGTTGATTTTGAAAATAATAAAGACTGTATGCCATTAGAAGCTCTTCCAAAGCTGTTCAATTGACTTAGTTATAGGCCCGTCGCTGTGGGCTGGAGTGAACTCTTTTGCGCTTCAAGGACTGTTTTCTGTGTAACACTTTTCAGTCCCATGAGTGTTCCTAGAAATCACTTCAGGTTCTAAGGACCTTATACTCACTTTTCAGAAGGATCCAGGTGGTCTCAGGTGGTTTCTGACGTTGTGGAACATCCAGAGAGGCCCTTCTAGAAACTGGAATGTGACTGAACACCATTTTTGCTCACTTTGGGGTGGTGGGTTCAGGGGAGTGACTTGCAGGAGCATTCCTGTCAAATTGTGAAGTGAGGATTGCAAGTTTCACGTATGGCTATTTGCTAGGACAGCTGTTCTTATTTGTGGTGAGACAATAAAGCCAATATGATCCAGTGAACAAACTGCCAGAACTTGCTATTTGTGACCTGGAGTCAGCAGCATAACTCCTATTCCTTTGGTGAAGATGAGGGGAAATTCTTGCAATAAACCCAACCAGTGTCTAATTCTGCTTGTCTAATAGACAGGGTTGCCAGCTCTGGGTTGGGAAACGCCTGGAGATTTTGGGGGTGGAGCCTGAGGAATGCAGGCAGGCCCATAGCCAGGACTTTGTGGCTTGTGGGGCAATTTTTTTTCTGGTGGGGTGAAGTTCTTAGTGCAGAAAGAAAAACCATTTAGCCAAAAGAAAGCTGTTACCAGGATAGATCTCTAAACTCCAAGCTGTCAACCACTTTAGATGACAGTTCTCCACTGCTGCAAGTTAATCACTTCTGCCAGCCTAAGCAACAATTCTAATAACAAGCTGGCAGGTGGGGGTGATGACTTCTATAGTCAAGAAAGCTAACACTTAGGCAGAAAAACTCTCTTAAAGGAGACCAGTTTCTTGACATAGAGTTAGAAGGTATCCTAGAGGTCACCTACTCCAACCCCCTTGCTCAGTGCAGGAATTAGTCAACTACAGCACCCCACTCTGCTTAAAGGAGCACACACCTTTTAAAAAATGTTTTAAAATGATTGGTCAAAAGCATTTACAGGATAAATTCTTGTGGGGCTGTGCTTTTAAGAAAGGGGGCCAAGCCCCCCAAAGCCCAACCATAGCTATGGGTCTGAATGCAGGGTTTGGGGAGGGGAGGGACCTCTGACTGGTATAATGCCATAGAGTTCACCCTCCAAAGCAGCCATTTTCTCCAGAGGAACTGATCTTGGTCATCTGGAGATCAGTTGTAATAGCAGGAGATCTCCAGGTACCACCTGGAGGTTGGCAATCCTACCAATAGACCAACATAGCACAGTAGCTCTAGTATCAGACTAGGGCCATGATCAGACAAGCTATTAGCTCCGGTATCATTACTTCTCCCTACCGGATTTTACAGGAGCATCCATATATGGCCAGGGACCAGCCTACTTAAGGGACCGCCTTTCCCCACATGTTCCCCCAAGAGCACTACGGTCGGGGAATCAGAACTTACTAGACGTGCCAGGTCCCCGGGTCATCAAACTCGTCATGACCAGGAACAGGGCGTTTTCGGTGGCGGCTCCTATCTGGTGGAATGAGCTCCCAGAGGAGATCAGGGCTCTGTGGGACCTAGCACAGTTCCGCAGAGCCTGCAAGACGGAGCTCTTCCGCCAGGCATTCAAATAGGAGCCGCCATCGCCATTGTACCACCAATGCCCCATGGTTTCTGTACAGAGTCACCATGATGCGGGCACTTTGGATGAGAATGGGACGTTTTAGGAGACGGCCATCTTGTTTTTAGGAGAGGAGCACCAAAATTTGTTTATGACTGTGATGTGTTTTAATATTTTTAATGTTTTAATTGTTCTATTGTATGATTTGGCGATATGCCGTGTAAGCCGCCCTGAGCCTCCGGGGAGGGCGGGATAAAAATGTAAATAATAAATAAATACATAAATAAATACAACCACCTCTGTATAACGTTCCTCACTCACAGGCCACTCGTCTTCACCCCTGACTTTGTTGACATTGGAGAAAGTCCATTAGCAGCCGATCCAAGTAGTCTTGCTGCGCATTTCTGGATGTCTGATCACTGTGTTGTGATTAATCACCAAGGCACATGCACTTTCAGAGGAGAAAGAGCTGTGGTCAACCGCTTATGCGCATGCACAAACAGCAGGAAAATGTTTAAATGGCAGCCCACACACGCTCCATGGTTACAGCACAGGAAGTGTGAATTCTCAACCACGGAGCAACTGCGATGTCTGGACAACATTCGCCAGTATAAATACCTTCAGTTTAAATATAAGCGTGCTCAATGTTCTTAAAACATGATGTCTGATCTTGGGAGAACTGGCTTTGAATCCTCACTTTGCCCTGGAAGCATGCTGGGCGACCTTTGGCCCATCACACTGTCTCAGCCTATCCTAGTTCACAAGGCTGTTGTTGTGGGAATAAGACGGAGGTGGAGAGAATGATGTGGGAAGCCACTTTGGGCCCCTTTAGGGAAGAAGAGCAGGATAGAAAAAAATAAAATCTCTCTCAGTAAAACATATGCTGTGACCATGGTCACACTGGATCCACACCCAGTTAAAAAACCCTCATTGTAACTAAGGCTGACTAGCATGAGTGTTATGTCACGTTGACACTATTTATCTTAGGATTCAGAAGAAGTATTGAGGATATGATGTGTATAACATAAAATAAGTTTTAAAAAACCCTTCTTTTCAAACCCCTTTCCAATATATAGTATGTAAGGCATGGGTTGCCACTGCCAGGCATGGCCTGCCAAACAGCAGAAGACTGAAGGGTGGGTAGAGACATGGGGGCAGCCATCAATGATAGTATGATATCACTTGTGGGAGAACCCAGAAATGACATCATACCTCTCTAGGAATTGCTGGAAACTCTATGGTAAAACTGTAGCGTTTCTGGAGATTCCTAGAGAAGACTGATGTCACTTCTGGGTTTTCTCAATGTGATGTTACACCACCTGCCCAATGGCCATTTTTAAGGGGGGAAATTCCCACAGCCACTATGAGTGCAGTGTGGGAAGTAAGGGTGTGGGGGGGAAATGCTGAAATTTTTCGGCTTCTGGTAAATCAGACCTGAAAAATATTGGTAAATGCTGAATTTCCCCAGTCCAATACCAGTAAAGTATTTGGATTGGGGAAATATTCGGTATTCCTGAATATATTTGGGTCTGATATATACCACCAGAGGGAAAGGATTGTTAAAATGCCTTCTTTCCCTCTGCTAGCCCCAAGGGATTGCCTTGTCAATTTCAAAAAAAAAACACACCCAGCTGTGAGAGAAATTGACAAGGGAAAGCCTCTGCTCTGTGCCTTCCCTTCTCTAGTTGACATGGGGTAGGTGGAGAAGGGCAGGCAAGAAGCCCAGACATGTTTAAAAATGCCTTTCTTTCCCTCTCCGATCTGGGGAAAGGAAAGGAAGGTATTTAAACACGTCCCCTCCACTTCCCCGAGTTTCTCTGCAAAAGCGGAGAGACTCAGGGAAGGAAGGGGGCATGTCTGCATGCCTGTTCTTTCCTTCCCCAGCCAACCCGCTGTGGTGGGCTGGCTGGGGAAGCAAAGGGGCAGGCATGCAGACATGCCTGGGTTCCCTGCCCAATCTTCTCCAGGTGCCCTGATCTTAGGAAGGGAAAGAAAGGCATTTAAACCCCACAGCTGACTGGCGGCTTATGTCGATACTCTCTGATCTGTATTCGGCTTATGTGATACCCGAAAAATACCGACAAGGCATTTCTCAGGTATTTTTTCAGTTTGGCTATTGCTGAATGCACATCCCAAGTGGGAAGCAAGACACAGAGTGGGGAGGGATTCTCTGTTCTGCCCAGGGGCTGGCAACCCTAATCCTCCCTGTCAAGAGAGGAGCCATTTTCTGAGTAAAATTCCATTTGCAAAGCTTTTCTCTATTCCAGTCAGATAACAACAAACGCCTGTTAGTTACTCGCCCTCCATAGACTGTACTCCACCAAGGTTCTTTTCTCAGGCCTACTAATTAGCTCACTAGTTCAGCTGGATACAGATGGGAGGGGGGGGGATTCGTTCATCATCCAGAAGTTCCCTTGAAGACAGCATGGTGATTGGTTGAAGGAGGTCAGGAGATACATCGCTGCGTTTTCAAAAAAAATGTAGTCTATCTTGCTAGGCCTTACTCCTTTCCCTCCCTTCCTTTCCCATGCCTTATATGTGTGTTTGCCATATGCTACATCTGTCATGGACCTTGCTGCTTGCTTTGAATTGAATCTGTTGAGCTTTAAGAAACCAAGACCTGCTCTGCAGAAACCCTATTCAGTGAGTGTATTTAGGAAGTCAGTTTTATTATTTTCTGTGTATTTGAACTCTACACTGGAACCATAATGTTTTT